TTTTCCTTCATTCTCTTAATGAGACATATCACATTTATTGATTTTTTTTTCTTTTTTTTTGAGACAGTCTCACTCTGTCACCTGGGTAGAGTGCAGTGGCGTCATCATAGCTCACTGCAACCTCAAACTGCTGGGTTCAAGGGATCCTCCTGCCTCAGCCTCCCAAATAGCTGGGACTACAGGCATGTGTCACAACACCCAGCTAATGTTTCTATTTTTAGTAGAGATGGGGTCGCACTCTTGCTCAGGCTGGTTTTGAACTCCTGAGTTTAAGCAATCCTCTCGGCCTTCCAGAGTGCTAGGATTACAGGCGTGAGCCATTGTGCCCGGCCTGATTTGTTTAACTATTCCTGCCTCCTGGGAATAAATCTCACTTGGTCATCGTGTATGATTTTTTTTTAATATGCTGTTAGATTTGGTTTGCTAGTATTCTGCTGAGGATTTTTGCCCCATCTTAAGCAGGGATATTGGACTGTAATTTTCTTTTCTTGTGCTATTTCCAGCTTTGGTCCAAGGTAATGTTGATCTGAATAAATGAGTTTGGAAGTGTTCCCTCCTCTTCAATTCTTTGGCAGAGTCTGAGAAAAATTTCTGTGAATTCTTCTTTAAATCTTTGTTAGAATTTACCGGTAAAGCCATCTGATCCTGAGCTTTTCTTTTTGAGAACAGTTTTGATTAGTTATTCAATCTTTTTAGTAGTTATTGCTCTGTGTAGATTTACTGTTCCTATGACTTTACAATTAAGTCTTGGTAATTTTTATATTTCTAGAAATTTTTCCCATCTTTTCTAGGTTATCTAATTTTTCAGTGTATAATTGTCTGTGGTAGTCACTTAGGATTCTTTTTATTTCTGTGGCATAAATTGCAATGTCTCCTCTTTCATTATAAGCATTTCAAATTGTGAAAAAAAGTAATTAAATCTTGTAGCATTTTGGAACTGGATTTGGAGTAAGTGACTACACCTGTTGGCTTAGAAATAAACATCAGTCTCCCAACGTCCTATAAAGCTTTTAATCACAAAAACACATTAATTCCCCTAGTTAAATACATATATGAGACATAGTGTTGTTTCATAGATAAAATTAACACAGTGTAATTAGGTGATTATTTGGGTAATTGTGGGTTTACTTGCTCTCCTCTTAGAATATAGGCTCTAGGAAAACAGGATCTGACAGAGCAGCTTACCATGTCCATTTAGGTGTCATTATGTCTCTAGTATTGAATCTAGT